TGTCCAATGCAAAGGATGGGAGTACCACAGCTATGTGAGTATCAGAATTGCTGAAATACAATGCTTTTTCACGCCAGCAGCTTTTACAAGCATAGACCAAAAGGGTTTACTGAATCTCAGCCAAATAACAAGTAAACGGGATTACATGAAACAACTTAGCACTAGGTGTCTTCCAACTTGACTCTTTTTGACCTCAATGCCAGTAAACCTTGGTGGAGCTGAGTCACCAAACAGGAGGGGTTGCAGTAACTGGAAAAGAAGAATGCATTAGATAGCTGAAAGCTGAACCTCAGGACTGGTATGTCAATCTTCATCTTCAGTAGAAGCATGTGGAAAGATTCTGAACATCCCTATAAACAGATCAGAAATCTGGTTATCTTCCTACCAACACCTGATGGCAGTTGCCTAGGGGACATGAATAAAACAGTGTTTTTTTACCCCTTCCCAGCTATCAGTAAGGTCCAGATTACGGACATCTGAAGACAGTGGTGTAATTTATTTTTAACAGCTCCTCATAGACTTATGTCTCACTTCCTACTGAGTCAAGAAATTGTTGCTTTTATTTAAAACAAACTCTAAAAGTTAAGGAGGACCACTTTTAACTCTTATTCATGAAAGATCTCCACCAATCCTTTCCACTTTTCTTATTCCTTCTTCCCCAAAAATGTATGTCTTTAGGATGGCTGAAAACAACAGTCATGAGTATAGCAGTTATGTGTATTTTGTTTTCTCAAAAGGCTTTGCAGGCAAAAGATCTCAATGTACTTTAGGGAACCAGCAGTGATATTGGCATTAGGCTGAAAAGTATTTTCTTCTCAAAAACTATGTATGTTTGCATTTACTCTGCTTGCTTGCCTTCTTAGAAGACAAGGATTCATGATTAATGGGGAAAAAATTTCTTCTGTGACTGTGTAATGAAATCCATGCACAGAGAATCTCAGTTACTCCTTGCAAGCTCAAGAGAAGCAAGTCTTTCTCCACTTTTGGCCAAGCAAGACTGTGCCGTTCCTGGCCTGTCAATATTAATAGCTGAGGCTGATGCCTGTACAACCAATTCCAAAGAATGGACTGAGTCCAAGCAATTGCTCTGCTATAACAGCCAGCTCTCCAAGACAACACACAAATGGCAACGTCATGGTCTGTCACCTACCCACCCTGAGCTCCTCTGCACGTGTCACTGTGTGCCAGCTCAGCAATTCCAGCTATGTGGGAATATAGGAAGAGGTTTGAAGCCTTGAACACACTCTGGCTACAACCACCCCTCAGAAGCAGCTCAGACTTCCTTACAGGCTGCTATTCTACTTAGAAAAGAGCCCATAAGAACTTACATCCTTTGGACTCTCCATGCAGGAACATAGGAGACAACAGGGTAGACAGCTAATTGAATAGCACACAAACATGAAAAAAGATTTTTGTCACAGCATGAATACATTATCTATCAAATAATACATTTTGCGGGAGCTCACATTTTTAAGAAACCAGAAGGAAAACAGAGTTGGGATATTTCCTTTTGACAGACTGTATTTCACATTTTGGGCAATAATCTTGGCCCCTCTCTAATTCTTTCAGCCAAAATGTTCAGCCCAGCATGCCAAAAATCACACTTAAAATTCAAGCAGCTGAATCTGTGTCTTGCTTTTCTCAATTTCTACATCAAGAGCTAGACTGCTATTAATGCAACAAGAGATGAAGACACCAATATTAACAGCATATTTCATGTAATGAATGAGAATCTTTTACTTAGAGAAAGACACAAGTGACCAAATCCATATGTGTTATGTATGTGATGTTTATCCTTCATAAAGGCTGTTAGAGAAATTTAGGTTGCTTAACGCTTTTTCCAAGTGTGAGATGTTTGCAGCCAGCCATTAATGAGACCCCTGTCAAAAAGGATAAGTACTTATCCATAATGTTTGAGAAAATTATGCTCATCAAAAGGGTTGAATCTTTTCTCAGGTTGCCTGTACACACAGGCACACTGAGCTGTCAGCTTCTGTATGGGGAAATAATTCTAAAAGAACAAGAGCCCTTGACAACGTCACCAATGCATAAAAGTATCCAATTTTTCTTTTGGTAGGAAACAGATCATTGCCTCTTTTCTATGTTACATTTATATGACACTAATTCTGAAAGGGTTTTTTTTTCCTCATTTGTTTTAAAAATGCTTTTAGTAAAAAAGACCTATTACTTTATTCTCCTATCTTCAAAGCTTCTTCAACCAATCACAAACTTTTCTGAAAATAAGGCTGATTTGCATGCAAAAAATGAGGAAACCAGTTTTTGAAATCTAGACTGATAAGATGACAACTTGTGACTTCAGGGTATAATTCCTTCTACTGGAGCTGGGAAAAGCTCATGAGAAACAGTACCACCAGCAAGTGAAAAATTCCCTTTGGGCAAGACTATACCAACAGTTGGCATAACTGAAAACAAAGGTGCAACCTTCTGGAGAAGGAAGAATCAAATCTGCAGCATTCTAATCTAGGAACACTGTAACTTTGGGGGAATAAAGTGTACATGTTCCCACGACTGAGGACTGCGGTGTAATACAGGTGTGTAAATATAGTGAATGTTACAGATGACTGAAGTGGCATTTTTGAGTTGCTGCTGCATTTCTCCATGATCACATGATTTTATGTGAGCTATTTATCAGAAATGTAAAATTATATGGGAGATAGTGTAAAAGAACTGCAACACAGAATTTTCAAGTTCTGTTCAATTTCCAGCAAAATGGAAACACCTGGCAGTAGTTGGCCAGATGTCCCATTTTGCTGGCCCATGCCCCGAAATGAGATTATTTGGCAGCAAACTCTTAAGTCTTCAGTAGGGTATTCCCCCATTCAGGAGTTAGCACATAGTTCCTAGGGAACAATTCATCCAGTTCTCTTTCCTTCTAACTTCACAGCATACTAAGTATATTAAACTCTCTTAAAAATACTTCAAAGAACCAAAGGCAAGGTAATTTCCTTTATATACATTTATTTTTATAAATTTACTTTACATTTTATGGGAAGTAGGAAAGGAATTAAATGTTTGTCTTGTATGAGGTCTCTACAAATACTTTTTGAGACCAGAATTTCTGCTTTTGCTAGCAGAACCAGCTGGATATGAAGAATCAACCACAGCAAGAACTGGAACTTGTGTTGAAAAGTAAGCCCAGTCCTACCCTACCCATTCTTCCTTTTTTTTCTGAACAGAACTGCATAGGGAAAACACCATCACCACACTGGAAACATTTCAAACAGGAACAGAAGAATTTATACATGTTAATCTGTGACAGGGTTTTCCCCCAGTGGATACAGCAACCCTCCCATTCATTTTGCACCACATCATATATGTGTGGTACTGCCTGACATTGCTGTGAAAGTCCTGTCAACACTCCTCGTGCTTCTCCATATGTTAAAACCACTCCTGCTCTGAGTACAATCTTCCTTAAACAATAGAGCAGCTAAAAGAAAGCTTTACCATCTAAGAACTGAAGTGTTCTAAGTATGGAAGATTGTTTATATAAAAAAATAAAAGTAAATTACAAGGTGTTAAGAAGAAAATTTATTTGGTCAATGAAAGGAAATCCAAACAAAACACAGAATTCTTGACAAAACCCGCCAAATACAAGAGTGAGGACAAATGCAAGACTGTTAATAATCCTTTTCTCTCTCCTGTCTCACTGAGGTTTTTCAGATTAATCACACCAGAAATAAGTTTTGGAAACTGGAGGCTTTTTAATTTCAGTGTTCAATTTAACTTCATCTGGTCACATCAGAAGGGAAAGAGATGGAACTAACATGGAAATGTTGCTTTGAAAAAACAGTAACTACTACTGAAAGCAAAGATATTCCAAACAGCAGACTTGCTTTGTTGCAGCTGGCTCCTGCAGAGCGCACAGCAACTGCTGGGTGTACTACAAACTACACATACTACCAAGAAACTCTGGACACTCGGTCAGCATGAACTGAAGCTAAAATTTTAATTGTAGGCTTCCTCTGTTGCCAGGAAGGCAGATGAGTATGTCACTAATAAACCAGCAGACAGTTCCTTTGCCTTGGCATGAAAATGTTGCAACACGAACTACTGCCCATCAGCAGAGCTTCACAGAGAGAGAGTCCTTTTAAGTGTTCAGGGTACCATTTTCTAAGGAGCCACTGGTCTTGAGGGGCCAGTTCGGCCTCTCTTACAGAAGTCACCAGTGTGCCTCACTCCATCTGGTGTGGGGCAATTACAACTGCCCCAAAGTAAAGAGTGACAGAAGCAGAACCAAACAGTTCGTGCAGATGGATGAGCACACACAGAGGCACATCTCTGTGTAGATGGATGAGTACACATCTGCTTGCTTATGTTTAAATTTTGTGCACGTCCTATGCACTTGGCCACTGGAAAGCTGTACCTAAAACAGACACAGCCCACAGGGCTACCTGGCTTCCACAGCTCCATATACATTAGTCAGATACAGTCTATCACTCTCTATAGCCTTCTTTAAAGCTTCAAGCCTTCAAGCCCATTGCTGCTTTTTACTAGAATGATAAAAATCACTGTAGGCACTGGCTCCAATAGTGCTGTGTCCTCTTAAGTTTCTCTTCTGCTAAACAGATCTCTAACAGACAGGACCACATCAGGCTTCTGCCTAATCCTCCCACCCCTTCATTAAAATGTTTTTCTATATAATGTTGCTTTGGAGTCAAACTCCTGCCAGACAAGTATCAGTCTGGAAGAAAAACTTCCTGCTTTATTATAAACCTTTGAAAAAGAGTTCCAATGTCTGGGCTATGGTAATTTGATAAGTTGTATCTTGGCCAGTGGGCTCCTGGTTCTCAAAAAAACCCAAGATTAGCAGACATAACACTTCAAGCTATGCTGTGTGAAACAAGATCCTAATACTACTACGATAAATAAGACTAGAAAATGGGATCACTAAAATTCCTAAACAGGAAGAGAAGACAATTCCTGAAATAATTTTCTTCTTCGCACTGCTTTAAGTTTTCCCAGTTCACTGGGTATGGACGTTATGTTTCTTGCAAGCATGGTCATGGCAATCGGGTATCAGATGAGTGAATTTTAGACAGGTTTGATATTCCTGTCCGTCCTATTACTACTTGACAACTGTATGTGAGTTGAATGGACTGTGAGCATCACTGATAGACACTGTAAAAGAAAAAAAGGCCAAAGAAATACATGCTGTCCTTGCCAGACTCTCCCCGAAAGCCCAAAACCAAAATTTGCAGTTTGTTCTTTCAACAGCCCAACCTGAGTCACCTGACCCTATAGCACCATGCCTCGTCAGATCACAGTCCAGGTATTCACAGCTTAAGGGGAATAATGGGCCAGTATTTGGGCTGCTTTTTATCACAGTTCCTATCAAAGATTAGCTGCATGGCAGCCTCCATTGCCTGGATTTTGGCAGCTTGAGCACCATACAGTTTCTTCATTTCTGCCATGCGCCTCTCCCCAGGTCTTTCTGTAGGCGGCTCCACAGAACGCTCCACCCTCCTGTGCAGGTCTTGATCAGCCTCCACGTATGGGTCCTCAGCTTCCAGCTGCTGCTGCCTCCCTAGACAAAAAAACCGTAAGAGATGTAAATTACTAGGCTATCAACCAATCATGTTTTATTTTAACTTTTAAAAATATTATATATTCATATTTTTGCTGCGTCTGAAAGGAAAAATCCACATGTTCTAGGGTGCAGCTGCACTCATTTTGCATAAAGAGAAATTCCTACTAAATATCATGATAATGCCAGGCTGGAATAAATGGGGTGAAATGAAGAAGATCCTGGAATTGAATCCTAAAACTGTAGGAAACCTCTGTATTAGTACTACTAAGCAAAAATCAACATTGCTCCATTTCTTCCCGAAATGCACATGCCCTAAAAAACCTCAAACAACAAAACAACAAAAACACAAAACATAACTCCCCTTCCCCTCCAAAGGGGCAGAAACAGCCCAACCAAAACATCCCAACCCACTCCCTATAGCAAAAAAATCCAAACAAAAAGGACAGTTGTTTCCAAAATAATGACTTAGCATCCTGAGAAAGGAAACACTGCACAGGACAATGCAACTTTAGCTGAATGATAGCCAAGAGAAAATGTAATCAGTTACTACTATGTGAAAATGAACAAATAGGTCTGTCATGTCTGCCATTAAGTGCATTCAATGAAACACAGCTGTAAGCATCGTGTCTAGATAAACTGTCCAAGCTCAGCCATTTCTCAAGACTTGCAAAGTTCAAAGCTGGCAGACTTACTTTATTGCTTTGAAAACAAACAAAACAGCACCAACATAAATGCACGCATCAGGGCTTTTAAAGAGGATTTAAAACAACTCAAGAGGTGAAACATTTGAACCAATCTGTCAACAAAAATGCTCTGTGGTAAGCCTGATTGGAAGCAAGAACTCGATTGTGCATGTCCAAATTTACTTCCACTTCCTGGGTACTGTTCTGATGAAACAAACAATGCTTGTGCAGTTAAAACATCAAAGTGCTAAATAAAACTCCCCTCTTATGGGGACATTTCTACAAGAAGGAGAAAATCACCCGGCAGCTGAACTCCTCAATAACAGCCATCCTCAAAACCGTGTAGCAGGCACAGTTCACTACTAATAACAGCATTAAACTTTTTTTAAACATCAAAAAGGACCGAGTGTCCACAGGTCAGGATGCATTGGTCACACACAGGACATGCTTCTCAGCGTTTGATACCATGTATCTCTTCCCTCTTTCACCCTGAAGCAGAGATTTAGCTTCCACAACACACATGACATCGGCAAACCCTAACCCAAAGTTAAATATCCTGACATTTCTGTGTCAAACATCTGCAGTTTATTTTTATACTGGAAAGTACTGTACCGAGCAGCCAACTGACTGTCAGCCTTCCTAAAGGAATTATCCCCTGTATGGCATTCACAAAAACCAGATATTTTAAACTATATGATCAGAAACTTCAAGTTTGGAATCTGTTTGTCTGGCAGACACAGAAAGCTTTTGTCCTGTCATTTGAAACACCATTCACAGTTTCGTGTTGGCTGTGAAGGGCTTGAGGAGTTATTAGTGATCTATTCCAGAAAGCCATTTCTGTGATTCTGCTTTAAGGGCACACCCCTGAATTAGGCTGCACTGCCAGAATTCACAAGGAAATATACATTCGAGTCCATATGTGTTTTTGGAAGAGTCAGATTTATTTGGTGTTGGGCCATTTTAACCAGAAGATCTGAATTAAAGAAACTAACTGCCTACAGAGGGCTCAGCACTTTGAGACAAGGTATAGCACCCAGGCTATACCTTACACCCCACTGAAACCAACTTCCTGGGACATCAGTCTGCCTCAACTACACAACATGCTTTTAACACGAACTTGATGCAAATTACACTGAATGGTTTTAGACAGAAAAACCCAAACAAGACTGACAATGCTGGCAAACTAATGTCTCCCACTGTAGACAGCACAGCAATATTGGCAAGGCAATGAACTGGACCCATATTTGTTAGCTCTCTTGGGACACCAGATAATTCCTTGTACTTCTGTATTGTCCACGGAAATTTTTTATTCTTTAGTTCCATAGTTCCATTTTTTAGTCTTTAGTTCGATGCATGCTAGAGACAGCTGCTTCCTCACTTGTTTGCTGTAGAATCCTGTCTGATAGCTCACTGCACACACTGATCCTTAAGAAAAAATATTTCTCTGGAGATAGATAATTAATTCTTCTGTTTGGAAATTAAATGGATCTCTAGCAGAAGCTTCATGATGGGTGAGTGGATTACAGTTTAGTGTGCATCAATCTCCATTTCTCAACACAGAGTAGTTAATAAATCTATAGATCCTAACTGTAAAAATCAAAATTGTAATGCCAATTTAAATTCCATTCTCATAATTACCTGATGTATGTCTGGAGTGTTTTACTTTACACTAATCAGATATACTGCCCTTAACTTTCTAACTTGATTTCTGCTATTCCATAGCTACTGGTTAAAAAAAAATCCCAAAGTGATTGTATTACAGAGTTTTAGAAACATAAATCAGGTTTAGTATCCAGGCAGAGGCTCAGGACAGAAATGTGCTATAGGGACCCACAGTTTTTTGCACCAAAGGCTGAATCTGAGCACAGAACATGATAGCTGCTGCTGGTAATACCACTGCAGCTGTGTGGAATACATTGCAGTTTCAAATCACTTATCTGTGCACAGATACTACTGTAACAAACTCCACAGTCATTTACAGAATCACAGAATGGCTTGGGTCAGAAGGGACCTTTTAAAGATCATCTTATTCCAACCCCCCTGCCACAGGAAGGGACAATGTCCACCAGACCAAGTAGCTCAGAGCCCCATTCAGCTTGGCTCTGAACACTGACAGGAATGTGACATCCACAGCTTCTCTGGGCAACTTGCTCCAGTGTTTCCATCATCCTCATAGTAGGTGGCATTATTTGCTTTTACAGACTATCAAGGAAAGAAGTCATAAAACTAAATGAGCATGTAAACTACTGCTCTTCAAAAAACAGTATCTCCAGTCAGAAATAAACATAAGGAATACATAACAATGAAAGTATTGTCCTGTTGTGATGCACACTAAACTATCTTTGATGGGGCAAGGGCTGGGAAGCAGAAGTGCTGTAATTTCCAGCAGTTTGGGTTCTATCCACTACATCAGAGTTTACTATAAAAACAATACAAAGCAGTACAACTTCAGCTAAATGTGCAACTACCTCTTCAAAAAGCTGACAACTAGAATCTGACAACAGAAATACAAACAAAATTTTAAACTGTCTATAACCCCAAGTCTATGGAAACAAGCAGAATTTCTCTGAAGCACACAACATATACTCATCCATGAAGCAGATAGCATGGTTTATCAAAACACTAATTCTCAGCCTGCAGTAATGAAGTCCCCAGCTCACTCTCAGATCAGTTTCACATTCCAAATTCACAAGTCATTGGGCTGCCAAGTTATAAATGTAAAACAAGTAATTTTTACACAATCCTAAGTAGTTCCTCCTTCCACTTCACACAGAGTAAAATAAATATACTTTCTTTTACAGCATGCAGCTTCAACTACTGGCAAGCTTTCTCCAATCAAGGAACAGTATTTTGCAAACATTCACAAGGCAGGCAGGCAGCTGCAGTGGTGGCTGGTTCCACACAAAGGAAAAGCATTGCTGACGTTTTCCCAGCTGATCAGTTCCATTTCTTTTCAAAGATGCTCTTTCTCTCTCTTGAAGCTCTTCTCAAAACTAACTTACTCCTACCAAGTCCAGCTCTGCTGTGAAGTCATCATTACCTGGCCAAAACCAGTTGGGGCATCTTTTTCCAAAACAGTAAATAGAATTCTTCAACCATGAAGAAAAGAAGTCCAGCTCTGTCATGCACCCAGCGTCCTGGGTAACCCAAAAGGTTACTGTATTCTGTATCTATCTGTGCCCAAAATGGGAAGTGTCTCTAAGACGCTGGATCCAGAAATGGAATGGCAGGGCCGGCAGGTGCTGGGCTTTTTAAAGTCGGGGTTGCACAGGCAGAGCTCTCTCTCTTGCCTGCGGCTCTTGCTCTTTGCCTTTAGTTCTTGCAGGCAGAGAGCTGAGGCAGCACTGCTGGAAGCTCCTCTCTGATTTTCTTCTGGGTTTTTTTTATGAGGTAGGCAGGTGTTCAGCCATGTCCAGGACAGCAGGGCTCCATCACACGTAACAGTGACTTGGGAAGACAAACTCCATCACTCTAAATGCCCTTGCCTTCCTTCTTCCCCCCACTGAGCATGACATACCAAGCATGATGTCAGATGACCTGGAATATCACTTTGTTCAGTTGGGGTCACCTGTCCCAGCTGTGTCTCCTCGCCGAGTCCCATGCAGCACCAAGGTCCTCACCAGTGTGGCAGTAGGCAAAGGAGAAGAGGCCTTGGCTCTATGTAAACCTGCTCAGCAATAACAGAAACATTTCTATATATTCAACCCTGTGTTGAGTCCAGATTCAAAACACTGCCCCATATACCAGTCACTGTGAAGGAAATAAACTCTACCCCAGCCAAAACCAGCACACCTACCCAACTCATGCTATGTTCCTGGGCCATCATTAGTAATTCTAGGTCTCATGAAAGAAAGTTTTGGAAAGTTCTCCCTTCACCACTTTTCCCACTTTTTATGGATGACTTTTTATCTGGTGTGTACTAGCTGAAAAAAAAGTGAACAAATAAAATAAAGACAACTACCTCCATGCTCAGGGACTGTCAAAAGCAGGAGATAGTAATTAGTGTATAAGCCATTCACTGCATTTGGTCCTTCATATGCACACAAATGACTTCTTACTTTCAGCAAGACTATGACCTAAGACAAGCTATTTTCCCCAAAGGTCGTTAGAAACTCAGATGCCTTGTTTCTCATAGTTTATAAAAGAGAAAATGTCACACACTTTTTGTAAGTTTGATGTACTTTACATTTCTTTCTTTCTTTGTAATATCCTTTGAGAAGCTTTAGTAGTAATAAAAAAAAAATTCCTGTCCAGAATGTATCCTCTTCATTAAAAGAAAAAAACAAAACAACCCAACAAAACAAATCAAGGAAA